TTGGGCGTGTGGTAATTGTGTGGGTGATTTGAATTCACAGCGCTCATTTACGACTTAATTTAGCCGACTTCTTTCGCTCTGCATTGTTTTTGGCCAGTGCTGTTTTCTCTCTCTCTCTCCCTAATCTAATTTAGAACAGTGAGGACACAACTTTTTGTCTTCTTTCTTTTCAGGCATTGTTTCAGCTGATTTGTGAGGTTTGCCCGGGCCTGCCTGGCTCGTTTAGATCGCTTTTTCTTTCTTTCTTTCTTTCAGGTCTTGTCACTAATCTGATTGAAAGACCTGGAAAACTTTTAGTGGTAATTGTGACTGTGGTGGTTGTGGTCAGCCTGTCTGTGCCCTTTACTTTATTGCCGAGATGACTTTTTCTTTTTTGTTTCTGCTGCTGCTGTTGTACAGTTTGCAGTACGGTTACGTCAGGGGTGGGAAAGTTTTTTTTTCATATTTCGTTTTCAGCAGCCGCACTGTACTACAGTTCGACTGCAGTACAGAAAATGGCTAATAATAATCAGATGATGGTGAAATTCTCTGTCAGCATTCGACAGCGGCAGCAGCAGTGGCCACGCCAATTTCTTATTTTTGCAATTCTAATGAAATGCTGTCTGCGGTGGTGGTGGTGCCATTAATAGAGGTGGCTGCCTGTCTGTTTGCCTGCTGTTGCAATGTTCTTTCCTGTTCCTTTTGTTCTTTTTGGTCGGAAGAATATTCGACCAATTTAGAGAGCAGTGTGCAGTGGGAGAAAACCGCTGGGACCTCGATACTCGCTTTGTTGAGCGGTTATTTTAGATCTGGTGGTTGTGCCTTCTGGCCTGCCTGTGCTGTGGCAGTCATGCTAAATTATTAATCGACGCATCACCGCCACCGGTGTACGACGGTGCTTGGAAAGCGAATGCAAGTGAATGAAAGTGAATGGAAAAGTGAACGAGTGTGGGCGAGACAGTGCCAGAGAGATGCATTCAGTTGCCGTCTGCCTTCAGCTTCAATTAAATTGGCCGTGTACGTGATTGTCTGCACTGGCTGACTGACTGCTGGTTTGCTGGTGGCAGTGTGATTAAAGATGAAATGAGAAAGTTGATGATGATCGGATGCGAGTTAATTGAGGTGCTTTTGGTGGTGATGGTCGAGAGTGGGCGAAAGAATGAAGTGGTTTTGGTGGTGATGGTTACCAAGGGCTCTTAGTTTGAGTGGTTCTTCTGTTTATTGCTTTTCCCCCTTCTTTAATTATTCTAATTGCTTCAGTCGATGATCTCACTCTTCAACTCTTTGACTAATTATCATTCTCCTCTCTCTCCTTTTCTTTTTTTCTACTCCTCACAGCTTCTAAAACCTCAGAAGAAAATCAAACGCTAGCTCGTGTCTTCGTCTACTCTTGTCTCTTCTTCTTCTTCTTTTGCATTCTTCTTCATATATTTCTTCTTTCTCGTCTACTTTCGAAACGTTCTCCTAATAATCTACACCACACACACACACTACTTCTACTGCTACTACACGCCCTGATGTGATCATCTGCTGAACAAGAACAATAACCACACCAATAACACCAGAACACCACCACCACCAACAAACTCTTTTCCTTATTTTCACATACTTTTTCCTTTCTTTGTACACACCTCTTTTATTCACTATACACCTCCTTCACCTCCCCTCCTCCTCCCCTTCTCCTTCACCTCTCAATCTCTTGCAACAATTGCCCTTCTGTCTTCTTTTGTATCTCCCCACATACACACCACACCCACTTCGGCAATTGTTCGCCGATAATCAAAAGTCATGTTCCCCCGTTTCCCTTTCCCCTTCCCTCTCTACTGATTTCACCACAGACTTACTGAAAGAAAGAATGATTCGACAGAATGAAGAGGGTGTTTCCTGTAGCAGGGCAATATTCCTCATTTTCGGCTTTTTGAGCATTGCATTTCTCTGCTACACAGATGACGTACCTCACACCCAACACACTGATTGCACACACACACCCCCTTTTTCCCTTCACAAACACTGTTTTAATTTAGCCTCGCTCTCTTATCACTTTGCTTTTGCTTATTACGCTAACTGAGAATAATAATTTGGATTGTATCTTCTTTTCTTCTTCTTCTTCATCAAACACTTCTTCTTTTATTTGCTCTTGGTTCTTTAATTTATCTACTCTTCGGGTGATTCTTCAATCTTCAGATTTTGTACGACTCTCTTTCTTTCTCTCTTTCTCTCATTGTTCGATTCTTTTCTCTTTTTCTCTCTCACACGCAATTCTGTTCCCTTATTCTAATTTTAATTATTATTTAATGGTTTTTTTTCAAATTGCTACACGCTCACCACCACAACCACCACACTAAAACACCGCCACACACACACACTAGCGTTAATCTGTTATTGTATTTAATATTATTCAATTAAACTTGATTCATTTTACTATGATTTACCTGACTGAATGAATGAACATTCAGAGCTATTCACGCAGACTGTGACTGCGACTGATTGATTGGCGAAGTGAAAGGTGTGACAGTTCGGGAANCACACACACACTAGCGTTAATCTGTTATTGTATTTAATATTATTCAATTAAACTTGATTCATTTTACTATGATTTACCTGACTGAATGAATAAACATTCAGAGCTATTCACGCAGACTGTGACTGCGACTGATTGATTGGCGGAGTGAAAGGTGTGCCAGTGCGGGAATGTGAAGAATCGACTCACCCGAGGGCGGCAATGCCCGTCCGGCGGCGGAGACTGCGCACAGACCAGTTCTTTGTTCTCCTTTTCAGAGCGTTTCTATTTCCTGCAGCAGCAGCATGATCATTTAGAAATCGATCCATTTAGAGCTATAAATCCTGTCAATTTTTGTGGTTTTAAGTTGGACAATACATTTGAGGTCACCCTTTGAAAAGAAGAGTTGACCTTGACAAACTGAGAACTGAGTGCGCGGGTCAATCAAAAGTTCAAACAAAAGCTTTCTTTCAGCGCCTAATCCGCCATCTGCCGACAGCTGGGCGCCCTAGTTAATCAGTTTTTATCCTCTGCCACTACCTCTGTGGGCGGCCACAGTGTCCGCTGCAGTTGTTCTTGTCTGCAGCGGCAGCTTTCAGCGTGGCTTCTCCCTCTCACATTTGCTCACCCTCTCCTACTTCTTCTCCTCCTCTTCTTCTTCTTACCCATCGTCTGTGCCCGGGTACTGCGCGAGCGAGAATCCCGAGAGTGGCCTGGCCTCGAGAGTGCTGAGCAGAGTTACTGCCGCTGCTGCTGCTACCACACAAAGAGTGCTCTGCTGTCTCTGCTGTCTCTGCTTCTTCCACTGCCGCTGCCGCAGCCTCGACATCGACATCGACATCGACGTTCCAGAATACATCATAACCATNGAGAATCCCGAGAGTGGCCTGGCCTCGAGAGTGCTGAGCAGAGTTACTGCCGCTGCTGCTGCTACCACACAAAGAGTGCTCTGCTGTCTCTGCTGTCTCTGCTTCTTCCACTGCCGCTGCCGCAGCCTCGACATCGACATCGACATCGACGTTCCAGAATACATCATAACCATCATCATCATCATCATTATCCCATCTTTTATTCCCCGCCATCTGCAGCGAGCAGTCGACAAAGCAGAAGCCAAATCAGCAGCAGCAGCAGCACCACCGCCTGAGCCAGAACTGAAGCCATCCGCCGGTGAAGTGAAAGAAGAGAACGTCTTCGAAGTCTTCTGCCGCCTGTCTGTGTTTTGGTGGTGACTCTTCTTCTCCGTCTTCTCTGGTTTCCCTCTTCCACGCTACTACTTTTCTACTTTCTCTTTCTCTTTCTCTTTCTTTCTTTCATCGTCGCCGTCGTCGTCTTTCACCGGCCGCCGCCGCCACCGCCGCGTGTAGTGCTGCTCGATCGCGTAGCGCCGACTGCTGCACTCGCACTCACACTATCTCATTGTGATTTTCTATTATCCTGGTAAGTGTGTCCTGTCCTTCTCAATCACCATCATCTGCTTTTTCCTGCTTTTTCATGCGAAGCCTTTAGGGAAATTACACCAGTGTCTTTTGGTGCATGTGTGTGTGTGATGTGTTTAGAACAACAACAGGGGCAGCCCAAACTGCGGCTGATGTTGTGAATGCGCGACTTGATTTTGAAATCGCTACTGCCGCCGCCGATGCCGCATCTGCTTCTGCAGCAGCCCCTCTTTTGTTGAAGAGATTCAGATGCTGCTGCTACTGATGCTGCTGCTGNATGTGAAGCCTTTAGGGAAATTACACCAGTGTCTTTTGGTGCATGTGTGTGTGTGATGTGTTTAGAACAACAACAGGGGCAGCCCAAACTGCGGCTGAAGTTGTGAATGCGCGACTTGATTTTGAAATCGCTACTGCCGCCGCCGATGCCGCCGCATCTGCTTCTGCAGCAGCCCCTCTTTCGTTGAAGAGATTCAGATGCTGCTGCTACTGAAGCTGCTGCTGTTTTCGTGGCTCTGGTGGCGGCGGTTGTTGTAGGGCTATCTCTTCCCCATCATCATCACTAGCGGTTGTTGTTTATCTTTTCCTCCTCAAACTGCTTCTGCTGGCAAAGCCGTGATTTAGTTGTGTGTATGCATGTGCGTGTGTGTTATGGTTATGTTTTGCTGTTATGAACTGCTGCTTCAGTTGTTGTTATTATGAACTCTCATCATTTTCTTCTTTTTCTTTGTCTTTCCCGCAGGATTGGCGCAGCCACGAGAAGAAGCGACGTGAATGAAGCCAAAACTGTCCACGTGGGACGTTGCACTTTCCTATTTCTCGTGAGTTCTTTTTTTAGAGAGGGTTACACTCTTGTCTTACCTTACCTTTTCCCTGCCCAGGATCTCCTCCAACAACCGTCCTCGACGGCGTCTGACGACTGAGCCAGCAGCGGCGCTTCCACTGCCAGCTCTCTGCCGCCACTACCATCACTCACCGCCACCTAGACCTTCCAACAACTGAACAACAACTACCCCATCACCCCCATCATCACCTTCACCATCACCACCTTCCTAACAGCATCCCCAACAACATCCCCAGCCACCACCATGTCCACTTTCTTCGAGGAGGTCTTTCTGCTGGACTACGACGACGAGACGCTCTCCTTTCGGAAGCGGTACGCCACGCCGCTGACGCTGGAGGTGATTGACGAGTCGGACAAGCTGCTCATTCGCTCCAAGCTGCAGGATGAACAACAGCAGCAGATGAATGGCCACATGAAAAACGGCGAAAATGGCAACGGCAACATTACTGACTCGAACGGCAGCGGCGACCACCATCATCAGCAGCAGCAGCCCTCCTTCAGCGTGGAGATCTACAAGGACACGCCCTGCTCGGAGTTTGCCAAGGGCGGCTTCGTCATTACCGAGGAGACCGGCGGCGCGGTCTTTCTCCGCTTCACCAAGCGGCACATCTACGACACCGCCAAGGCGAACTACACCGAGGCGGACATTGTCCGCTTCGCCAAGCTGGTCAACGACTTCAAGCTGGGCCGGAAGGAGTCGATCTTCTCGCTGCGCACGGACGAGGCCTCGGCGACGCAGTACTTTCAGTTCTACGGGTACCTCTCGCAGCAGCAGAACATGATGCAGGACTACATTCGCACGTCCACCTACCAGCGGGCCATCCTCTCCAATGCGGACGACTTCAGGGGCAAGGTGGTGCTCGACGTGGGCGCCGGCTCGGGCATTCTCAGCTTCTTTGCGGTGCAGGCCGGTGCCCGCAAAGTCTACGCCGTGGAGGCGAGCTCCATGGCGAAGCACGCAGAGTCGCTGGTCGCCTCCAATAAGCTGGCCGACCGCATCACCGTCATTGCGGGGAAGATCGAGGAGATCAGCCTCCCGGAGCAGGTGGACATTATCATCAGCGAGCCGATGGGCTACATGCTCTTCAATGAGCGGATGCTGGAGACGTACCTGCACGCGAAGAAGTGGCTCGCCCCAAATGGAAACATGTTCCCCACGCGGGGCGACCTCCACGTGGCGCCCTTCAGCGACGCTCAACTCTACACTGAACAGGTAAGGGAACTTTTTGAAAAATTTTCGATGCATTTCTAAATCTCTTTTTCCACCAGCTGACGAAGGCCAACTTCTGGTTCCAGCAGAACTTTCACGGCGTCGACCTGACGGCGCTGCGCGACGCCGCCCTCAAGGAGTACTTCTACCAGCCGGTGGTGGACACCTTCGACATTCGCATCTGCATCGCCAAGTCGAACAAGCACACGGTGGACTTTCTGCAGGCGCACGAGAATGACCTGCACACCATTGAGATTCCGCTCAAGTTTAGCGTCACGCAGACGGACGAGATTCACGGGCTGGCCTTCTGGTTCGACGTCGCCTTCTTCGGCAGTCAGCAGGCGGTGTGGCTGAGCACGTCGCCGACGCAGCCGCTGACGCACTGGTATCAGGTAAGATGACGAGGAGGAGGACCCTTTTTGTGTCTTTAAAGCTCTTTTTAACTTTTTCCCCCTATTTCCCCATTTAGGTCCGCTGTCTGATCGACAAGCCGCTGTTTGTGCAGCGCGGCAACACCGTCACCGGGCGCGTCGTGCTCGTCTCCAACCGCCGCCAGTCCTACAATGTCAACATTGAGCTGGCGGTGGAGGACGCCGTGGCCGGCCCGGGCTCCCCCGCCGCCTACGCCTCCAACACGCTCGATCTCAAGAACCCCTACTTCCGGTACACCGGGCAGCCCATCCAGCCGCCACCGGGCTGCAACACCACCTCACCCAGCGAGGACTACTGGGCCACGCTGGACACCTCGGCGGTGGTGGGCGGGGTGGGCAGCAGCTCTGCGCCCTGCAATGGACAGCAGCCTCAACAGCAGCAGCAGCAGCAGCAGCAACAGCTGACGGCGGCTCAGGCGGCGGCGGCAGCGGCCGTCGTTGTCCAGAACGGCAACGCCTCGCAGCTCATTCTCAACGGCGGCGGTATAGTCGGCGGCAACGGCCTTTCCATTGGCCTGCCCAACGGCCTGCCCGTGGCCGCCCTGAACACCGGTCCACAGGGACTGTCGCAGCCGGTCAACCTGACGGCGGGACAGGCGGCAGGAGTGGGCTCGGTCTTTGCCGATGCTCTCCTCATGGGCGGAAACGGTGGTGGTAACAACCTTTCAGGACGGGTCCTCACCACTGGCGGCGGCTATGGATCAGCTGTTCCCATGGCCGGCGGCCATGTTGTTGCTGGTGGTCAGGGTGGCAGCCTCTTTGGCCAGCCCGGTCCCAGCGGCAGCAACAACGGCAGCGTCGTCAACAACATCAACAACATGAACTTCCCCGTCAACCAGAGTCTGATGATTGGCGACTACGCGGCGGCGGTGGGCGGTCAGACCATTCCGCCTTTTAAGCCCATGTGAAGGAAACAGCAGCAAAACCCTTTCCTACCTGCAACTCCGACTGAATAAGAAAGACTCCAGCAACTACTCCAACGACAACGACAATGAACTGTACTTTGACTCTGAAAGCCTACTACACCTACTACTCCTCTCTGAATGTATTATCAACAACTACTACTAGCCTACTACCTTACCCTACCATTCTACTTCTTCTTCTTCGTAGCAGCAACTCTCTTCACTTCCTGCAACTCTCACTCTTTCACTCCTCGCTCTGTTCTTCTCCTAGCTCTACCACAAATGCACACACCACACATGACCCCTATCCCTTGACTCATTCTCATTCTTCCCAATTCACAAATCACTTTTAGGCTATTTTATTATTTTATTTTAAACTTCTCTTGCTCTTACTCCTACAACTAGTTTTTCCTGCTCTATTCTCTCTCCCTCCCTTCTTCCCCTTCCCTTTCTGTTCCAACCCGCATATCCAGTGCCACTGAACACAAGTGCGTGTGTGTTTTGCAGAATATTCTGTGTGCGAACTCTCTCTTTCCCTTCCCCTCTTTCCTTGATTTTCTACCGAGGCGGAAGTGGATTTCTCCAACCCATTCAGTCACAGCCACAACTCCACCCACAAACTTACAAGCACACACACACTCCCACACCGATGACAGACATGTTTTGTTTTTCTTGTATCCTTCTTTTTCTTCCTTTTCCTTTCTTTGCTATTTTATTTTGCTCGCTCTCTTTCTCTCATTCAAATACTCAGTGGATTCTTCTTCTTTTCGGTTGTTGTTCTTTTTCTCCTTTCTTTTCTTCTTTGCTCTACTTTATCCCCTTACTGTGAATTATCTTTGTACAACATCACCACCACTACCACCACCACCACCACAGCATCGCCCACTCACTTCACCAGCCATGACGCCTTCTTCAGGAACACGCCCTCACACACCCATACTGATGACACTCTTTTCTACCACACACCTGATGGACCGCTTCACCGCGACTTGACAATACCGTATTATATTATCTGATTACCCTGAATGATCTTCTTCTATTTGCCCCACACACACATGCCCTACACTGGACAAAAAGGTACTACTATTCTACTCATTCTTACTACACACCCACAACTGTACATTTGATTATGATGAGGTATTTTAAAAAACATAACATGAGATGAAACAGTGTAATCACATACACAGACACACACCACATTCATATTCTCAGATCACAGCAGCAGCAGCAATGCGCGCGCCCCATGGATGATGTACCTTTTGACTGTAGCCGCAATAAAGCAACGTGATGAAAAGAGTGGTGGTGTTTGGACTAGCGACGAAGAATGAGACGTTCCACCTGGACGACAAAGGACGGCCAGAGGAGGCTCAGATTACGGCGGTACCATTCACTAAGGAGAAAGATGAAAGAAGTTTGTCAGATCACGGAAAATAGAACCAAAAGGACCGAAGGACCGCTTACAAGTTGTAGGCAATGTGCCTGCTGCGATTGGCGTCGAGGAAGCGCTTGTAGAAGAGCGCCAGCTCCTCGTGCGTCTGATTGGCATTGTTCAGCAGGTCGTCCTTGTCGGCGCTGAGCGACCTGAGCTCGTGTTTCACAAAGTGCTTCTTCAGCTGTGGAGGAAAGGTAACAGAAGTTAGGAAGTTAGAAGATGGTCTCTTTTAGCCATTTCGTATATACTCACCTGATTGAACTCTGAATTGTTCGCCAGCCAGTACTGGTGATTCCAGGCCTGCAGCTCCATGCGACGCTCTCGCAGCGTCCGTTCTCGGTCCGATTCACCCGTCCTGGTGGCCAGCTTGATCAGGCGTAACCGGGAGACGGGGTGGGCGCTGACGCTCATCTGGTCACGCTGGGAAGGATTGCTCCCATTCCCGTCCAACTGTTTAGCTGCCGCTGAAGATGAAGATGAAGATGATGCTGTACACCTTCCACTGCTCTGAAGTAATCGAAGTAACCAAGAAGAAGAAGAAGCAGGAGTTCTTCTGAGAAGCATCTTCTGGACTTTGGAAGTTTTGACTTTGAAAAACAACTTCAAAATAAAAATAAGCAGCCGTTGCCTGTGACGACTGCAGCGGTCAGCACCTGTGTGGAAATGGCCACTTTTTGACGTTTCCGACCTTTTCCGCCTGGGGGCGCCTGCAGTAGTGCCATGTGCTCGCTGCAGCCACTTCTGGTGAAGAGAGCGAGATTCTTCTTCTGCAGTGGCATTCCACTTCCAGTCCTCGAGCTGAGCGGTCCTCAACCGCCAACTTCCACCAACGACTGACCAAGATGGCCTGACTTTAGCTGCAAGCTCTCTCGCACACCTTCCGGTGAGTGGCCCACGCAAGTGTGGTCACGGTACCAACGACGATGATGGCTCAAACCTGAGGTATGTTTCCATTTCTGCTGCTTTGCCTGTTTCCCCCTCCACCACTTGAACCTTAGATGATGAACCTAGATGACGAGTCACGATGTACTGGTGTTTAACATTCATTCCAGTGCCAAAGGATGACAATCTTGGCGCCTGATTCAATCCCCCTTTTCCCCATCTTTGATTTACCTGTTGAATGTGTTTTCTAATTCCAGACATTTTTGCTTTCAGATTTTGACCGCCCTTCCTCTGGACGCCAAGAATCGCAACGGCTTGAAATGGTGAGTTTGAAGTGCTAGTACTTTGCAATCCTCCCCTGCCCTCTCTGCTATGTTAGAAGTGTGTAGGGCCTCACTTTTTGTATCTTTGATGAACGTACCATACTGAATCCATTCAAGAGGAGTCTGGTGCACGCGCGCCATTCTCCTCGCATGATGCTATTTTTGTACGAGGCATTTGTCTGAAACCCCCATAACTTCCTCCCAAACTGCCTTCCAACTACGTTTCAGCGTTTCTAATTCTCCATTTTTCTCTGCCTTTTCACAGAAGCTGCCCTGAACTGCA